TGAGAAATCTCCAGACAACTTTCCACAATGACTAAACTAATTTACATTTGCACCAATAGAGTATAAACATCCTGTTTTCTCCATAGCCTTGACAGCATCTGCTATTTATCGACTTCTTAGTAATAGCCATTTTGACTGGTGTGAGATGGTATCTCATTGTGGCTTTGATTTACAGTTCTCTGATTCAGTAATGTGGAACATTTTCTCAAATGTTTGCTGGCTGCTTGTATGTCTTCTCGAGAAGTGTCTGTTCGTGTCCTTTGCCCACATTTTAATGGGATTGTTTCTTGCTTGTTGCATTGTTTAAGTACCTTACAGATTTTTGATATTAGACCTTTGTCAGATGCATAGCTTGCAAATATTTTCTCCCATCCTCTAGGTTGTGTGTTAATTCTGTTGATAGTTTCTTTTGCTGTGCAGAAACTCTTTAGTTTAATTAATTAGTTGAATTCAATTTGGTCCCACTTGTTGATTTTGGTTTCTGTTGCAATTGCTTTTGAGGACCTAGTGATGAATTATTTGCCAAGGCCATTGTCTAGTGTGGTATATCCTAGGTTTCCTTCTAGGATTTTTTTTATTTTGAGGTTTTATATTAAACTTTAATCCATCTTGAGTTCATTTTTGTGTATGGTACAAGGTAGGGGTTCAGCTTCATTCTTCTGCATGTGGCTAGCCAGTTATCCCAGAATCATTATTGAATAAGGGATCATTTCTCCATTGCTTATTTTTGTTGACTCTGCCAAAGATCATATGGTTATAGGTGTGCAGTTTTATTTTTGGGCTCTCAATTCTGTTTCATTGGTTTATGTTTCTGTTTTTGTAATGTGTACTAAAATGGCTTTTTAATACGTTCTAAAATGGTCATTTCTAGGACCATTTGTGTGCAATGTGTATGCCCAGAGGTACCAGCAGAAACCCTGCCTCGGCTTCTGTTTCAGTTTGCAACAACTGACACTGTCTCTGCTTCTTACCAAAGCTCTCTTAAGTTTTCCTGTGCCTTTTCCTCCAGCCCTCACTGCAAGTCCTTTGTGCCAGATCTCTCTTGATGATGCAGATACATCTGGGGAAGCCCATTTCTGACTCCACTTTAACTGGCTTAAATTAGAATGCTTTTACTTGCACATAAAATACCTGAAATATTATCCAACTTGATTTTCAAAGAATGGAATTCATAAAGATATACACCTTTTAGTCCATATTGGCTCGTCTTAGTTACTGAACAGAATCAAAACATTCCATTTTTCTTTTTTCTTTTTTCTGAGACAGAGTATCACACTGTCTCCTGGGCTGGAGTGCAGTGGTGCAATCTCTGCTCACTGCAACCTCCACCTCCTGGGTTCAAGAGATTCTCCTGCCTTAGCCTCCTGAGTAGCTGGGATTACAGGCACCCACCACCATGCCCAGCTAATTTTTTGTGTTTTTAGTAGAGATGGGGCTTTGCCATGTTGGCCAGGCTGGTCTCAATCTCCTGACCTTGGGATCCTCCACCTCAGCCTCCCAAAGTGCTGGGATTACAGGCATGAGCCCCCATGCCCAGCCAACATTCCATTTTTCTATAAAACCAAGATAACTCTGAAAAAGTGGTTTTTCATATCAACTGACCTATAGAGGCTTATGTTCAGCAGAACCTGCTTGGTCACAGGATGCTAATAAAGTGAAATAAACTCTTCTTCAACTTGCTTTATGCAACAAAGTCCCTCTGCCCCAAAGTTGTCTTAGAAAAGACAGCCTAGGTAGTTACTGTGCTTTGGGAGTCACGGTCCAAGTACATCACATGATCAGTATCCTCTTTAAAAGCCCAGGGGTGAGGTTTTATAAAAGTATTCTTTAAACAAATGGCAGCAGGAAATTCAAAATTGGTTAATTCATATTGCTGCTACAATTTATTTGCATGTAAAAAGAAAAATCATAGACAATGAAGCCTGCAGGGGGTGTACAGTGTCTGAGATTATTGTTATTCTCTTCCTCCCAGTTTTCCCCCATATCCTCTTAATGGAATAATTATTTTATTCCCTACTTGTATGTAATTGAGGCAAGCTAAGCACAATGAATATGTTTCTTCAGAGGAAAAAAGACCAAACATAATAATTAAAGAGTAAGTTAGTTACGTAAGTAGCAAGTATTCCAGGTGTGGGGAGAAAGTGTAAGGGATGATCCCCTTGGGAATGGACACCGGTGGGTGGTAACGTGTGTGGGAAGAAGAGTGATTCCATCTTAGGTGCTAATCCGCCATGTTGACTCCTAACTAACACTGAGTCGGGAATGCCTCCAAGATGTCTAGCTGATGATTTACTCTCTATGTCGAAACACCTGTTTACTCTGAGTTTCACCTTTCCTCCAAAACAACCCTTGATATTGTTGCATACATCACCCGTGGCTGTGACACCCACAGCATTCTCTCAGCCACCCACTCATTCCTTCCAGAGCAAATGTGTTTTCTCCAGGATCTATAAACCCTGAGTCTGGAAGGTTGTAGTGTGAAGGCCTACCTTTCTTTTGGTCACTCAAGACCACGCTTGTGTCTGTAAGTTCCCCCATAAATCAGCCTTTGCCAACAAACTGGATTTTTCTGCTCTGTTCTTTGGTTTCTTGGCTCCTTCTGCATTTGGTGGACACTTTGCATTTGTGGCCCTTTCAGGGAACAATGGAAAACGTATAATATTCAGCATTTTGGGGTCTACTTTAAGAGATGTTCTGTAAATGATTTGCTGTGTATGTCATGACATTTCCTCAGGCTCACCATCGAAACATCAATCTATATAAAATGATAAAACATGAGCTTTAAATGTGAGGACTCTGTAACATATTTATGAAAGACACAACAGATGGGCAGAAAACACTGAGAATGGGAATTTGCTTTTCTTTTTTTAATTTTTTTTTTTTTTTAGATGGAGTCTCGCTCTGTCCCCCAGGCTGGAGTGGAATGGTGTGATCTTGGCTCACTGCAACCTCCACGTCCCAGGTTCAAGCCATTCTCCTGCCTCATCCTCCTGGGTAAGCTGAGATTACAGGAGTGCGCTACCACGCCTGGCTAATTTTTGTATCTTTAGCAGAGATGGGGGCTGGTCTCAAACTCCTGACCTGAGGTGATCCGTCCATCTCAGCCTCTCAAAGTGCGCTGGGATTACAGGAATGAGCCACCATGCTTGGCTGGGAATTTGCTTTTCAACAGGGAAAAGAGGCCGTGTATCTGCCAGGCAATAATGATGATGAGCACAAAACAGTAATTTCAGTGTATTGAGTATGTGAGAGGACCAATACTAGTTTCCTTAGGTGTATTAATTTGAATCATTTTAACAACTTTAGAAAGTCAGCATTATCATTTCTGTTTGAAGAGTGAGCAAACTGAGGCTCAGAGATGTTGCATGCCTTGCCTAAAGTCACACGGTTGGTGTGTGGTTATGACAGTGTTTGTGGTCAGGTCTAACTCTCATGCCTGGGTTTTTTCTCTACAAGCTCCTTCTTAGCTGTTCCGGTGTTCCTACCCTAGTATTCTTTAGTGAGACATCTAAAGAATTCTAGAATAGAGTGAGTATATTCTTTAGTGAGATGGTCTCCAGGCATTATCCTAGGTTGAATAAAATGCTCCAGAACATTCTCCAACTCAGATCTATAAATCAGTAGTTGTTTTTTTTAAAATAACTTGTTTCTCCAAGGACCTCAGTTTTGAGGAATGTGTGCCCTGGGTGAAGAAACTGGCATTTTCAGTACTGGAAAGAAATACTTCTGTCTCCATATTAGTTTTTCAGTATTGGTTTTTAGGTTTTTTTTTTTTATGAGTTATGTTAGTAGTTTTGACTCTTGACTGGCCATTTTTGGATGATCTACTAAATTCAGGTTTCTGAAATGACACACATGAGAGATAGCTTTATTGATTTTCTATGAATTTTCTTATGTTTTCTTCTTACAAAGACGTCTCTCCAGGAGCAATATCAAAGAAGGCCAAGCTGCTATAAAGCTTCTCATTGCTTTTGTGTATTATGCCAGCTCCTCTGCCTCAAACCACTTGCCCTGCCTTCTCAACTGAAAAATCATTCCTCTTAAAATCTAGCTCAAATGCTACCAATTCTTTTGCAAAATCATTCTGGAAGCCCCCAGAGAAAGTCAACTTCTCATTCTTTTAAACATTCAAATAATTTTGCATATGCCTCTCTCCTATTCACTTAACACTCTATGGTAACTCCTTCTGGATAATTCTACTTTCCCATCTATCCTATGAGCTACCCAACAGTGTCAATAAACTCAGTCACCTTCACAAACCTACCATCTTCAATTGCACCTGGCACAGGAAGAGAAATGCTCAATAAACACTTGTAGAAATGACATTTGAAAACCATGCAACCTTGTCGTTGAAAACTGTAGCATTCAGGAAGATCTAAGATGAGTACTTAATAGGGGCTTTTTTTTTCTCCTTGAAGAGCTTGACTGAAATAACAGTTATTGAACCAAGTTTCTTCTGAGTTCACTGAACTTGATTTATTAGCATTGAATTTCCTCTTTTAGCTTTTTTATTTTTATTTTTGCTTGTAATTGGCCTCTTCATGTTTATCATAATCCTCCACTTATAAATATCATAGGATGCTTCATAGAACAGTGAGAAAAGTGGACCCTTGGGCAGTCAAGGGACTTACCAAAAATCACACAGCTAAGTGGGAGAACTGAACTAGAACTCTGGTTCTATGGGCCTCTTTTTGTTCTTTCTAGTAGGCTAGGTTGCTATGAAAAAATAATAATAACCCCTTTAAACTTCTTTATAGCTCTTTAACCTATTCAGGTGGTTTTCCTTAATAGTTGCAGAGGGCACCATACCACAGAAAAAGTTGTCATGAGATTTAGTGACTTTTCAAACAAAATCACTTATAAATTCAATCTGAGAAATATTGGTCCCATCCTGAAGAATTGTGCTTTCTTTATATCAATGAAAAAAGCAATAAAATGCAAGTGCACACCATCTGGACACAGAGGCTGTCAATAATAAAATGAGGAGAGATGGCACTGACCATAATCTGTGTTTTCCGGCTCCCAACAATTTGATGGCCAAAAATAGGGTGTCTGTGGAATGAAAAGAAGTGGAACCAGGTTAGACAAAGAAAAAATTAGTGGAGTTTCTGGCTTGCAAACTGCATTTACCTTCCACAATTCTCTATATTCGTTTTCCATGTGTTTTCTAATACAGAACATGTTCCAAGAGACACATTGTAAACTGTTTGTCTACGTTTACTTTCCTGACCAATTGCTCAGCTTCTAAATATGTGTAGTATCAGCAAGCAGGTATTTAAAATGTCATTCATTTGGTGTAATTTTATACCAATTGACATAAAGGTAAAAAGGTCTGATTGTATTATTCAAACAAAAAGTATTCATCCACAGAGAGGACTGAAAGAGAACTATGTTCAGCAAGACTCAGAATGAAATGTATTTAAATATAACAAATTGTTTTCTATAAATCATGTATCTCAACACTTCTTTTGGTAGCTCCAAAAAGTTCAACCAACCAACAAACTCTTTCTCTGAGATCTGACAATCATTTACCTGGCTCCATTAGTCATATAATGCAGTTCTCAGCATTGTCCAATGAGATTAAAACAACTTTTTACTCTCACTTTTAAAGACATTTCCCAAATTCTTCTTGTAATTAATTTCTACAATTTGGTAATACAACAGGGTGACTAGGGTCAATAGTAACTTAATTATAAATTTTAAAATAACTAAGAGTGTAACTGCATTGTTGTAGCACAAAGGGTAAATGCTCGAGGGAATGGATACCTCATTCTCCATGATGTGATGACTTCAGATTGCATGCTTGCATCAGAACACCTCATGTATTCCATATATTCCATAAATATATATGACTATGATGTACCCACAAAAATTAAAATTTAAAAAATTTCAAAAAATTAAAATTTAAAAAATTGTTTAAAATATTAAAATGTAAAAAATTTCAAAAAAATTAAAATTTTAAATTTAATTAAAAATTAATTTTTAATTAAAATTTTAAATTTAATTAAAAATTAATTTTTAATTAAAATTTAAGAACCCACAAAAAATAAATAAAAATAAAAACATTACGAAGACACTTATTGCTCTAAAGTTTTAAACTGCACATATCAGAGGTCCTTTTTTAAATTACCAGTGTCTTAATTGAGTGATATAATCTATTATAGGCAGAATTTGGATTCTGTAGAATTCTAGAAACTGATTTTCTAAACTACAAAGAAAATGATTGATCAAGAAAAACTTCATTATTTTCATTAACATTTATATTTTCTAAAAGGACTTTTCTAGTCCTGCTAGCTGAACACGCTTGGCTCCTGACCATGAAGAAACCTGATGCACCTCCTCATCAACCCCTTTCCCTGGAAGGATGAGAACTGCAGGACTCACTGTAACAGTGGTGGCAAATATCGGTACTGTGGGCTTAATTCTATCTGTTAGCTAATTATATTAACTAGCCATGTGCAATGAGCATATTTGGAGTAATCTCTGAGTACCTGATAATGTTCCCCTCTAGAAGAGAGACTCTAAAGGAGAGAAATGGGTAAATGGGAAGAACTGTTTGAATCTCTACAGAAAAGGCTTTCCAAACTAAGATGCCCCCTGCCACCACCCAGGGATTTTGACTTACCCTTCGTTTTTTCTTGAAAATTATAGTAGTAAAATAAAGAAGGCTACTAATAGCAGTTTTGTGAACATGAGAACAAAATCATCGTAGGAATTTTGAAGAAAGAAAAAAGATTGAACCACTAGACAAAGGAGAATAGCAAGACTTTATATGGGTCACCCTCATCACCCCAATCTCACTTGACTCCACGGGAGATGAAGCTTTGAGAATTTGATTTCTTAAAAATAAAATGGAATCCGGATTCTAGGGGAGCCGTAGGGGGACAAAGTAATTAAAACTTTGCTTTCACGTAGGGTGTTACTTTTTGATATGCTTCTTATGGAGTGCACAATTCCCTTTTGGTTGTTTCTGTATTTTGGGGAGTATGTATGTATATGTATAGGTATGTGTGCAGGCGTATCTATTTATCTAACCTTAAAATATCTATTCTAGTCAGGCCAGTCAGACATATACTTTTTTCCTCAAAAGCATAGAAAATATTCTCAGCTGCATTCTTATATTTTCCTTCATTCTTCATCATTTACTTCAAGAGAATTTAATGACTGTAAAATTAAAGAATGAAGCATTTTTTCCTTGAGATATCATATGGAAATGCCACTAAGCCAACATTCTTCACCAATATTGGAAGACTTTTTCTAAGAAGTAACGTTTTGGTTTGTAGTGAAAGATAATATAGGAGAATAATAAACTCTTATACTTTTTTGGAATTTAAATACATATTTTATAGTTTTCCATACATTAGGACATTTTAATGCATGAGCTTCTTGGCTTTTCAATATTGACTTCCTTAGCTAGGATGAAACTCATCTGAAACTGTTCAACTGTTATTCACTAACTGTTGGAGCATATGCTAATGTATTAAGAGTCACAAAAGAGCGCTAAAGAATCACAGCAGATCTCAATTCCAGTTAGCTAAGAGAGGATGATTAGACAATTTTGACTTTACGGTAAATTATAAGAATCACGATTAAGACATGTACTACAAATTTGAGACAAATATATAAACTGCCATGCCAATGAAATCAAGATTTCTGTTTGTCTCAGATTTATGCTTTGAAGACTCTTTAGATTTTTTTTTTTTTTTTAACTGAGTCTCGCTCTGTCGCCAGGCTGGAGTGCAGTGGCGCAATCTCAGCTCACTGAAACCTCCGTCTCCTGGGTTCAAGCGGCTCTCCTGCCCCAACCTCCAGAGTAGCTGGGACTATAGGCGCATACCACCATGCCCAGCCATGTTGGCCAGGATGGTCTCCATCCCTTGACCTAGTGATCCACCTGTCTCGGCCTCCTCAAGTGTTGGGATTACAGGTGTGAGCCACCTTGCCCGGCCTAGATTCATAATGATCTTTAGACTCCCAACCATTCACTGGAGGATTTGTAAACATGGCATCCCAAGTTTTCTATTTTAATTTATGATCTTAAAATATCCTTTCAAGGAGTTGAATTTCACTGCAGTATAATAAAGAACTTTTGCTGCCTGGAACCAAAATAAAAATAGAGGTGAACACCTTGAATAATACTGGGTTTTCTATTATTACAGCTCTTCAAAATGGACTGGCTAATGCCTTGGTACACATTATAGTAGAAATTCAGTTACTTCTGACTTTTCTGGTGTTTTAAAAAATCTTGATTTCAGAATTCTAATATTATTAGATTTACAAATGTGTTATATCTAGACACTATTTCAAATATGGATGCATCATTAAAATATGTAACGTTTAATATTTATCATTAATGTAATTTTAATGTGCATATGTATAATGTTTATTTTATATCTGCCTATCTATCTCAGCACACTGAACTTGACAACTCTGTCTATCCCTAGTAGTTATGTAAGTTCATGAGTCCTTTGTACTCATTCCCTTGCATTGTTCTAAAGCTCTTTTTAAAAATTCTTTCCTTTTCTCCTGTGTGTATGGTGATCCCTTCCTTCATATGCCTTTTTTTTTTTTCCCTGAGACAGAGTCTTGCTCTGCCTCCTAGGCTGGAGTGCAGTGGCACAATCTCTCCTCACTGCAACCTCTGCCTCCCAGGTTCAAGGTCTTCTCTTGCCTCAGCCTCCTGAGTAGCTGAGATTACAGGCACATATCACCAGGTCCAGCTAATTTTTTGTATTTTAAGTAGAAATGGGGTTTCACCATGTTGGCCAGGCTGGTCTTGGACTCCTAACTTCAAGTGATCAGCCCACCTTAACCTCCCAAAGTGCTGGGATTACAGGCATAAGCCACTGTGCCCAGCCTCGCGTGGCATTTCAGACCCATGAGCATGAATAAGACATGTAAACCTTGATTGCTTTCTATTTTTTTTCCTGGGAATAGAGATTTCTTTCAAATATCAGAAAGCATTAGTCACATATAAACAATTTATTTGCTAATCACTAATAATTCCTAGTTATTAAAAATTTAACCTTGGGACCACAAGTTACTTTAATAATATGCTCTTTTAAGCTACCATTAGTTTAAGTTTAGCTGTTTAAAGAATAAAGCTCCATTAACGTAAAGATTTTGTGAGTTAAGTAATTGAACTACGTGCTTGAATACTTAGGCCAGTATCACTGTTTCAGGAGACAGCTTTATTTCCTCCTAGCTCTTAAGTGCGGAACTGTCCTATGATTATTTGCCTTGGGAGAAATGAGTCCTAAGGAAAGGGCAGTGAGACTGTTCTATGAGGACAATAATCTTTGACATGATTTTTTAAAGCAAATGATTAAAATAATTCCTCTTTGTTCTCGGTTTTCCCAAACAAATCTTAGGCACTCCGATTACTATTCAGTCATTTACGTAGGTATAGAGCATTTAATAATACTTAGAGCAAGTGAGAAGAAGCCTCCAAAGTCTGAAAGTTGGACCGCGGAGAGAACATGGTCCATGAACCATGAAGAGAACCCTCCATGTTGGAAATAGGTTAGAGTTTGACATTCAGCATTTTATGTGCCTTTATTTTGCAGGCTAGAATCTGCTAGTCAGTTATTAATGAGCCATAATGCCTACTGAAATGTAGACTACACTTTAGGTAAATCAATGTGAACTCAAGTGTCAAATACACTTACGATGCCTGAAATTAGAGTCCACAATCATTACCTGAAAGAATGACAGAATCTCTGTCATTTGCAAATGACCTAGAATGACTCTTATCAGTTTGCAAGTTATCTGAGGTATCCTGTTGCAGTTAGGTGCACACACACTATATATCACCACGTCAGTCTTCACAGACTTGTAGAAAAGCCTTGGATGCTGAAAGTTTGTATAATCAGCTGAATCCTATCTTGGAGCTTCAAGCATTCCCATTAAAAGTTACTTGGGATGCAGATGGTCTGGATCACAGGCAAGCGTCAGACTATAAGCCATGGACTTACACTTCTCCACTTCCTTTATCTTCTCTTTTCTTTTTCAGAAGGAGTCTCCCACTGTCTCCCAGGCTGGAGTGCAATGGTGTGATCTTGGCTCACTGCAACCTCCCCCTCCTGGGTTCAATTGATTCTCCTGCCTCAGCCTCCTGAGTAGCTGGGATTACAGGCGCCCTCCACCACATCCAGCTACTTTTTTGTATTTTTGGTAGAGATGGGGTTTTGCCAGGTTGGCCGGGCTGGTCTCAAACTCCTGATCTTGTGATCCACACACCTTGGCCTACCAAAGTGCTGGGATTACAGGCATGAGCCACTGCACCTGGCCCCTTTCTAGTAACTTAATGCAACTTACAGAGGAAGACTCTCCGGTCTTCCTGAATGCCATTAAGTCACTATCTGAATTTCCCTTAAGCTTTTCATATAAAATAGAATTTCCATTATCACACATCATCTTGATTAAGCAAACTTCATTTTTCTGTTTATTGCTTTTTATGTCTCTAGTTGAACATTAATCAGTTTCTAACTAGCCTAAGTCAAAGTAAAATAGGTCACAGTTTTTAAAAGTTCTGTTAAAAAGAAACCTAACTAGCAAACAAAATGCAGGCTTCTAGTTGACTGTTCAAGAACATTCCTGTTAAACTTACTTGAAACCGGTAAAAGGTGCCATCATCCTTGAGTGTGAGGACGTGATCTGAGATTGGGAAGAAGTAACCATGGGCAGCCATTAACGTTCCCAAATGGAGCGCCTCCACTGTTTCACGGAAACAAACAAAGAACATATAAAAAGCCTTTTACATGTATTCATTTATAACAATGTAACGTTATGTGTGGTTCCTTTAGACCACATTCTTGGCTTCACTTCGGTGTAATAAAGAACTTTGGCTGCTTGGAACCAACATAAAAATAGAAGTAAACACCTTGAATAATGTGTTTTCTATTGTTTGAGCTCTTCAAATACGGACTGGCTAATGCCTTGGTAGACATTATAGTAGAAATTCAGCTACCTCTGACTTTTCTGGTGTTTTTAAAAATCTTGGTTTCAGAATTCTAATATTATTAGATTTACACATGTGTTATATTTAGACACCATTTTATTAAATATGGATGCATCTAAAAACCTGGCTTTGTGCTTTTTCTTCTTTTTTCAGCCCTTTCACACGAGATACTAAGATGGTTCTAATTCCTGGTAGCAGCTGCCATGACCAATGTCATTCCATGGCAACCAGCCCGCGAGAAGATAAAGTGAAGAAATGCTACAGTGGGAAGGCTCTTCTGAATCTGTAGAATCTGTCTCCCTCATTGCGAAGACATTTGTTGGCTCTGTGTTTAGGCATTTATACTGCACTTTAAACTTTTTAAAAGAAGTTTTCACGGCTGGGCGCAGTGGCTCACACCTGTAATACCAGCATTTTGAGAGGCCGAGGTGGGCAGATCACGACGTCAGGAGTTCGAGACCAGCCTGGCCAACATGGTGAAACTCCATCTCTACTAAAGACAAAAAAAATTTTATCTGGGCTTAGTGGCACATGCTTGTAATCCCAGCTACTTGGAAGGCTGAGGCAGGAGAATCGCTTGAACCTGGAAGGTAGAGGTTGCAGTCAGCCAAGATCGCACCATTGCACTCCAGCCTGGGTAACAGGGAGAGACTCCATTTCAAAAAAAAAAAAATGTTTTCACTTGCATCACCTCCTTCTCCATATCATAGCTATTTAGTACCATCAGTAATGTTTCTAGTGATATAGATCATTATTTTGTGATGCTAACAGGAAATGTTAAGGCATCAGTGATGGGCCTTGTATGCTGCACCATTGAATCTACAGACTGGTGATTGTAAAGATTGCTCTAGCTTTTACTATTCTATACAGTGTTCCAAGTATGGAGTAGAAGTGATTTACTTGACAATGGAAACATTATAGTCTGGAAGGAAAGCTGTAATACTCATACTATCGGTAGCTGCCACCAATTTCTTTCCACAAAAGGGTTAATAAAATTTGATCAGCAGTTATTACTGCATTTGTGCAGAGATGACATACAGTTTTCTAACTTAACGTCTAGAAAATATGAAACTATGCAAAATAGTTTTCTACTCCGACATAAAAATATATGTGGAGTTGTCCCCTGGTGTTCTCAGAGGATTGGTTTCAGGACCCGCACAGATACCAAACTCCAAAGACGCTCAGGTTCCCTGGTTTGCCCTCCCACATCTGTGGGTTTTTGATCACGGGTGGTTAAATCCACAGATGTGGGAGTCGTAAATAGAAAGGGCTCACTGTATATAGAAAATACCAAAAAGTTTAGATTTATTTATCTGTTTATGTATCTTTATGTACAATTCATTTATAAATTTATTTCTGTCTTTTTTATTAACAACAAGCTAGGATTCTTACAGCAGTTCCAAGACTACATGAATCAGTATCTCCAGCCATCAGTCACGGGGGGCTTCTACACCTCAGTAAGAACTGAGTCACTAAGCAGCTACCTATGGTACAGCTAAGCATGAGAATCTCATCCTTCTCCTACCCCTCACACCTACATAACTAATAAATTTGTTGTTAAATTTTTATCTATTGTGGGGCACTATGATGCCCCTTGAAATTGTTATCTAGCATCTTGCGAACATTTCAATTGATAACTTCTACCTCTGGTCTCTCCCTGCATTGTTCTTGCTGATAAAGAACACCTGCCAACCATCCTTCACTCTTTGCCCTGGTTTTGCAAGGCTGTTATTAAGTGCTCCAGCCATCATCTCCCAATCAAGTCTCTCTCTGTATAGAATGTTGTTTTTCTATAAAGGAGCAATTTTTTTTCATCAGTTGTGTGTGTGTGTGTGTGTGTGTGTTTCCATCATTTCCACATCCTTTCAGTTCAAAGTCAAAGTCTTTTCAAAGCCTGCACTGCTCATAGCAACATGCCTACCTATCCTTGTTAAACCTTTGGTGCCAGGGTGTCATTGTGAAAAGAACAAGAACTTTGAAGACACCCACTGTCTTCTGTTACTTTCATTCTCTGTGCCTCCTCCATCTATTAATAAAGGTCATAAACCCACCAGGCAGGATTGATGTAAGAATGACATGAGCACACTTGTAATGAAATTGGAATCACGCTTCCATCCTAGAAGATACACTGCATATGGTAGCTACTGTGTTTCATTATTTACACACAAAATAATTTTTACTTTTCTACAAAGCACTTTCAGAGAATCTACTTCCATACATTTGCCTTCCACTAGGTTGAGTGAATATTTTCAACACAAGAAAATTATAAATGTTTGAAGTGATAAGGTGATAGATATGCTAATTATTTTGATTTGATAATTGCGCATTCCATGTATTGAAATATTACTCTGTACCCAACAAATATGTAACAAAAATTAAAAAAAACTAGGGTGAGTCAGGGAACCTGACAGTCCAAAATAGCCATGTTCATCATCATCATATTACTCTTGTTTTTTTCTTTTCTTGACTGTCTGTAAAATTAAAATGGTAAGTGGATCCATTAGGATAGCTGGCTCATAACAAATGAGCAGGTGCTTAGAGACCCGGTTAAAGTCTGAGTCCCAAGGTACCCCTGTGGATGAGTGAAGGACATGCAATCCCAAAATACCCAAGACTAATATATTGATTGTTTCGAGTTGAAAACACTGCAGAAATTGTAGTTTCAGAAAGGGATAGCTGGCTTATCTCTTCCTATATGCAGCAAGCCATAAAGATTCCTCTGGGAGGGGTATCCTCCCTCAACCAGGGCAAGAAAATAGCTCTTGCCACTGGAGACTGGGAATTGGGGGCTGCAATGAACCTGAATAAATAAGCTTAATGAGGCTAGGCGCAGTGGCTTATGCCTGTAATCTCAGCACTTTGGGAGGCCGAGGCAGATGGATCACTTGAGGCCAGGAGTTCAAGACTACCCTGGCCAATGTGGGAAGCTCCATCTCTACTAAAAATAGAAAAAAAG